CTATCATCCCTGTCTAGTTCCAGAACATTTTCATCCTCCCCAAAGGAAACCCTGTAGCCATTAGCTGTCACTCTCTCCCAACCCTGACAACCACTACTGCTTTTTGTCTCTATAGATTACCTATTCTGGATATTTCACATGATATGTAATACTTCATAATTGGTTTACTTGGTGTTCTACTGTTGAGTTCCTATGTGATCTCTGCAGCAACCCTGTGTTTTCATTTTACTTATTTATGCATTCATTTACTTATTTTTCTTGAGCAAAGTTCCCACAGACCCTCCAGCCTGTCCGGCCCCATCCTCTCTCATAGCTTCGCCTATTATTAATATCTTATATTAGTATGATACATTTGTTATGATTAATGAATCCATATTGACGCATTATTATTATCATAAAAAATAGTATTAATAAACTCAAGCCCATAGCTTATGCAGATTTCCTTAACTTTTACCAAATGTCCTTTTTCTGTTTCAGGATCCAATCCAAGATAGCATATTATCTTAAGGCGTCATGTCTCCTCAGGCCCCTCTTGGCTGTGGCGGTTTCTCAGACTCCCTTGTCGTTGATGACCTTGACAGTTTGAGTTGTCCTAGTCAGATTATATCGTAGGATGCCCCTCTGTTGGAATGTGTCTGAGGATCAACTCATGATTAGACTGGAGTTTAGTTATGGGTTTGGAGGAGGAAGGTCACAGAAGTACAGTGCTATTTTCATCACGTGGCCATGTTCTATTGAATCATCTTTTATCCCGGATGCACCTGGGCCACGTTCCCGATGCGGACACCAAGGCTCAGCATGGGGTGGAGCTGGAAATGACCATGCCCACACTTGAACTCACACCTGCCTCTTCCCACTGAACTAGTTCCCTCCACCCCGGGCAAGGTTATGTTGTGTGTGAGTCAGGGCACGATCAATTGGCCTCATCTTAACCCTGTGTTCTCTGCTAACGTACTTTTTTCCTGGAGCGTGTACCAGGGCCAAGAAAGAAGAAATCCATGTGAAAAGGGTACCAAGAAAGAAGAAATCCATGTGAAAAGGGCTTCCCTGTTTCATCCCAAGTCCAGGAGTCTCAGGAAAGTTCCTTCGGCGAATGAGATAACACCAAAGCAGCATTTAGGAAGCAGGTGGGGAAACTGAGGCCCAGAAAGTCAAAACGATCTATTATATTTGCTTGGGCCTGATTCTGCTCCCATTTGATCCAGGTTATTCTCATGCCACCTGTCTGTTCGTCTGTTTCTACATCTGTTCAGTAGGGTAGCCGTTAGCCACATGTGGCGATTTAAATTCATTAATTAAATAATATAAAAAAATCAGTTTCTCGGTTTCACCAGCTGCATTTCAAGGGTCCCGTAGCTACATGTGGCTAGCGGCTGCTGTATTGGACAGCACAGATATAGTATGTTTTCATCATTACAGAAGGTTCTGTTGGACAGTGCTGTTCGGGATGTGACAGATCCCAGGACTGTGAGAGCTACTAGAGGGAGAGTAGGGTTAGCTCAGGACCCCATGTCAGCCTGATGAATCGCCTGCCTCCTCAGCCCTCAGAATGAGTGAAGGCTAAAGAAAGGGAAGGCTTGTACAGAAAAATGCGAAGTCCCCCTTATGTGGGTTTTTTGGGGTCAGAACGAAACAGAGGAATGAATAGACACCATCCCTGTTGGGGGCGGGGGAGGGGGGTTGGTCTGAGAAAGGAGAAGTAGCTGGTGCTACAAAACCCTCTAAGGCAAATAGTATTAACTACCCTTTATTGAGTGCTAACTCTATTCCAGGTCCCATGCTAAGAATTTGGCACAAACCTCTGAGGTAGGTCCAATTACAAACTCCATTTTCGAGGAAACGATTGAGGCTCAGAGAGGTTAGGGAATTGCCCCAATGTCACACAGCAGGACCAAGATGTGAGTTGGATCTGATGTTTATGATCCCAGAATATCATCACCTCATGACAGAGAATTACAGTAGTGGGTGGGGGTGCCGAAAGTCCCCAGAGGCCAGGAGGTTTTTAGTCTTGCCTTCTTTCCTTCTTCTCCCCTCCTCCTCCAGCCAGCTGGAGGCCTTCCACAAGGGCAGGCTGCACAAATTCCCACATGCAATTTGTGCTGAGGCTTTGGCAAAGGACCTGGTGGGGGAAGGGTCAGGCTGCTACTAGAACCTTCTTTTCCTGGAAAGAGACCTACTAAACGTGATAGTCCTAACCTCTGCCGGGAACACAGAGGTGGTGGAGGAATGGACCTGGCAAGTCACTAGATAGACCGCCCAGCCACTACACAGTCTGTACCATGACCTCCTGCTACCCTGGATCCATGCACAGGTGTGTACAGCACAGCTTCTCCCAGCCTGGGAAAAACACACTCTCCAGTGGAAAGAACAGCTCAGGATAGCTTCTTGGTTCCTTCAGGTGACAGCATACCCACACTCCAGCAAGGTCACACCTGCCCAGCCCCTAAAGGACATGGCTCCTGCTACCAGGAAATGCTTGAAAGTAGCCACTAGCTACCATTATGGTGAGTGCTTTGATATGCTGGGTACTAGGCTAAAGGCTTTACATGCATTGTTTTTCAGCCTCACAAACATCTTTTGGCATCGTTGTTATTGTTTCATCACCTTCCCCTTTTTACAGATAAGACAGGCTCAGAGAGTTGAAGGCTCACACAGCTAGAAAGTGGTAGAGATAAGATTTGAACCTGCGTGCCTGCCTCTCAGTCCAGGGCTGCTCTCTTCAATAAATAATAATAATAATAATAATAATAATAATAATAATAATAATAATGATAATAATGGCAACAACTAACATCCCTTGAGTGCAGGGCCAGGAAAGATGATAAGAGCTTTACACAGGTTAGCCTACAATCAAGTGCTATTAGAGATGAGCAAATTGAGGCAGTATTCCAAAGTATTTAAACCTTTTTCCACACCCAAAGCCATGGGCCTCAGCATCTGGATTTCCACCAAGTCTCCTAACTGCTCGAGCAGCACCGGATCTCCACCTCCTTTATCCACCCAGAGGAGTTCTTTTGGATATTTCTGTATTTTGTTCTTCTGTATTTTGGATATTAACCTCTTATCAGACAGATGATTTGCAAATATTTTCTCCTGTACCATAGGTTGCCTTTCACTTGGTTGCATCCTTTGATGCACAAAAGTTTTCAAGTTTGATGTAGTTCCATCTGTCTGTTTGCTTTTGTTGCTGGTGCTTTTGGTCTCACATCCACTAAAGCATTGCCAACTCCAAGGCCATGAAGCTTTTCCTCTGTTTTCCTCTAGTGTTATAGTTTCAGGTCTTGCATGTAGGTCTTTAATCCATTTTGAGCTAACTTTATTAGATGGCGTTAAGGGTTCAATTTTATTGTTTTGCACATGGATATCCAGTGTTCCCAACCCTATTTATTGAAGAAACTGTCCTTTCCACATTGAGTGGCTTTGGCACCCTTGTTGAAGGATCATTTGTCCAACTAAGTAATAGTGTATTTCTGGGCTCTCTATTCTATTCCATTGGCCTGTCTCTATGTCAGTGCCTCCCCCCAACACACTTTGTTTATTTTTATTACAATAGCTTTTCTAATGTTTGAAATCAGAAAGTGTCACTCCTCCGACTTTTTCAAAATTGTTTCAACCATTTGGGGTCTCTTGAGATTCCATGTGAACTTTTGTTTTCCTATTTCTGCTAAAAATGCCATTGGGATTTTGATAGGTGTTCCACTGAATCTGCAAATCCCTCTGGGTAGTGTGGATATCTTAACAATATTGTCTTCCTATCCACGAACACAGGGCGTCGTTCCATTTATTTGTGTCTTCTTTAATTTCTTTTAGAAGTGTTTTGTAGTTTTCACTGTACAAGTCTTTCACCTGGTTATGTTGGTTAAGTTCATTCCTAAGCATTTAATTATTTTTGATGCTACTGCAAATAGAATTGTTTCAATTTCCTTTTCCAATGGTTCATTGTTAGTGTATAGAAAGTTGATTATGTATCCTGCAACTGTGCTGAATTATTTTATTAGTTCTAACACTTTTTTCTTTGTGTGCATGTGGAATCTTTAGGGTTTTCTATGTATAAGATCATGTCATCTATGAACAGGATATTTTTACTTCTTCCTTTCCAATTTGGGTGGCTTTTATTTCTTTTTCCTTCCCAACTGCTCTGGGTAGGACTTCCAATACTATCTGAATAGAAGTGGCCAGAGTGGGCATTCTTCCCTTGCTCCTGATCTGAGAGAAAAAGCTTTCAGTAGGAACTTTTAAAAAACAGAACTACAGGGGCCGGCCAAGTGGCACGTTGGTTAAGAGCTGGCTTGGGACGCCACAGGGCCCTGGTTCGGATCCCACATATGAGTGCCAGTGACACTGCCCTCTACAGCTAAGATGCTGAACAACAGCTCAACCTGGAGCTGGGCTGCCGTGAGTCNCTAAGATGCTGAACAACAGCTCAACCTGGAGCTGGGCTGCCGTGAGTCGCCGGCGACGGCGTAGGCTGCAGCCCCTGCTGCAGTGGGTTGCCATGGACTACCGTGTATAGCCAGCGTGAGCGGCCAAGCAGCTGCCGTGAGCGGCCGTCCAGAAGCCGGCGACTGCTCTGCCTCGCCCGGGAAGAGCGCAATGATGGTGCCAACTTGGGCCAGTGAAGCGACGTCCTCCACAACTAGATTGAAGAACAAAAACGACAGCAAGTTGTCTGTTCCCCTTCCCCACAATTCCCCAGCGCTGTTCCCATCCCCCAATTCCCCAATAAAAATTAAAAAAAAAAATCCAGAACTACAATGCCATGATTACACTCAACAAAAATATCAATGGTTTCTTAGTATTAGCTAATACTCAGGCCATTTGCAGAGGCCTTTGTCTCAAAATGTCTTTTCACAGTTAGTTTTTCCAAATCATACCCCCAATAAGCTACTTGTATTCTTAAGTGTTAATCAAATATTGTTCCAGGAGGAAAATAGAAGGTAAGAGAAAACAAGATACCTAGACTTAAATGCACACAGAAACAAGACACTTTACAAGCCCACCACCGTTTTCAAATAATTTATTAGGAATTTCGAACTGAAAATAAAACCTGGAAAAAGAAGTTACAGATGTGGAGAGAAGAGACACCGGAGGTGGTAACTTGCTGGCTTCGAAACACCATGTAACATCTTTTTTAAAAATTCCCCAAACAAATCAGAAAACGGAATTCCAGGGCCCTGATCCCATGGGTGGGCCCAGTGGGGTGGGGTCGGGGTGTCACAGGAAGGGGAGGAGAGGGAAGCTAAGTCTTTCATGACTCAGCTCAAACGTGTAGAAAATTAAAAATAAAAACCAATAAAATGCAGCTTCTCTTTTATTAGGAAACATTAAAAAAAAAAAAAAAAACCACGAACAGCCGCACATCTCAGTAACAAAGATTATTGCTTTGTGTTCTCAGGGCTAATAGGTTAAGCACCTCACACAATTAACTCTCCAAAGGGGGTTTTAAGGGTGAGGATTGTGATGGCGAAGGGAGCTTAGGTCCCCAGCCTCAGACCTGGGGAGAGAGGGACATTGAGAGACGGGGGACAATAATAGGTGGGCCTCAGCCCCGCCACGCCAGCCAGGTCACTCACTGTTCATGAAGTCAGACCCTGAGCCTCTTTCTCCTTTGAAGGGGGCTCAGGGGTCAGGGGCTGCCAAGGGGCTCTGGCCATGGGACCATCCTGGTGGGAAACTTCAGTGAGAGAATGTGGGGGTTCCCTGAGAAGCCCTTTGCTTTCCCCTAGGGTCCGCCCCTTCCCAAAGTGCCCCCTGATGCCCACTCGTGGGGGGCTCAGAGCAGAAACCATGAAGGCCTGACCTAGGTAGGGGGGCAGGGGAGACCTTTGGAGAGTTAATTCCTTTCCAGCAGTGGCTCTGGGCGAGCCCTTCTCTTCCCTCGCCCTTGCCCCCACACTGGGTTTTCAGGGTGAGCAGGCCCAAGGCCTTGACCCCTAGGGCCTGAGAGAGCGGGCCTGCCTCGGCCACAGTTGAGGCCTGCAAGCTTACAGTAACGGTGTCTGAGGAGGGGACAGAAACACGGGAGGGAGGAGACCTGTGCAGGGTGAGGCCAGGTGATGCCCTCACCCCCAAGGGGTCGCAGAGAGGGTAGGGGCTTCACCTCACAGTATTTACATATAATACAGGACGGGATGGTTCCAGGGGCTCGGCCTGGCCTACACAGCCCTGTCCTCCTCTCCAGGGCTGGAGGGAGGTGGCCAGGGGCCCACACCCACATAAACATTTTGTTCTCAGCTGGTGGGGGGCACCTGGCCGCTTGTCCCCTGCGGCCTGGGGCTTCACATTCACAAACCTAGAAATAGTTTAAAAAATGGTTTAAAAAAAAAAAAAAAAAAAAGTAAAGAGAAAAGGAGGGAAAATCAGAATAAAAAACCCGGGTTGGGGCTGCGGCCTGTAGCAGGCCCCCTCCGCCCTCACTCTAGCTATGCACAAATACAAAAGCCTTCTGGGGGAGGGGGGGAGGTGTCCTATGGGGGGCACGGCAGAGAGGAGGGGGCACAGACCCGAGAGGGAAGAAGCAGGGGGTGGTGGGGGGCAACCGGCTAATCCAAAATAAATAAAAGCGGGTACAAGAGGGGCAAGGGGGGGCGAGGGGAGAAGAGAGGGAGGTTAGTAGCGGGGCCAGACGACCTCTAGGGACAGCAGGGCAGGGGCCCGGGCTGTGGGCCCATGAGTAGGGGGCAGGCAGTAGCGGGCCGAGTCGCTGCAGGGGAGGGGGCGGCTGCGGCTGAGGTGTCCCCGCCCCCTCGCTGGCTCACTCGCCGTCCTCAGCTTCAAGGCTGGGGCGCTGCAACACAGCGGGAGGTTATTGGGGCAAGGAGGCGTCCTGCCCCTCTAACCCTTGCGCCACCCCCCTCTTTGGGGGCCCCAGAACATATCCCTGTGTGTAGGTCTCTTTCCCTGATACCCTCTCCGCGATGATCTTTGTTCACACACTGCACGTTCCGTGCCCAGTTTGAAAAGCTCTTACCCTAGATTGAAATGGTTGGATTTATTCAAATGTCACCTTTTGAGAGATGCCTTCTCTGACCCCCAAAAGTAGCCCCCTCACACACGATTTGGAATTATCTCACTTGTTCACTTGATTTTTGTCTGTAGAATGAGAGAGGAACCTTGTCTGTCTTACACATCCCTCTTTCCTGGAATAGGGGTCAACAAATAGTTGTTTGAATGGACGAATAAAAAAATGAAAGGTCCCTTATTCACATGATGACTGAATGACGACTGTGTGTACAGAGGGTTCTCTCTCTCTCTCTCTCTCTCTCTCTGTATATATTTATATGTCAACAGTATTGTTTTAATAGCTGTGAAATATTCCATTGTGTGCATATACTTGTACTCTCATTTATTTAACTACTCTCCTTTTGATGGGCAATTCAGTTATTTGCACTGCTTAAAATAAATGCCTAAAAGTGGAATCGTTGGGTCAAGGGGATGAATGTTTCAAATCTGGATAAACACTGCCAGGCTGCCCTTTGGAAACCCTGAGCCTATTTGCATAGTTTCCCCTACACACTCATCAATGCTGGACATTAGGAATCTTAAAAAAAAAAAAATCTTTGCCTTATTGCTTTCATTTACTTTTTTTATGTAGTAGGTTGAGCAGCTTTTCATGTTCATTCATCACTGCTGTCCCCACACTGGACTGGTTTCCATGAGGGCAGAGACACGGTCCGTGTCCCAGACTGGGATGCCCAGTACCAGCCTCCCCAGTGTCTCTCCCACCCCAAGGTCCTTGCCCACCTCACCTCCTGCCACCTGTCTCTTGCTTCAGTGGTACCCATTGGTGAAAGCTGTGGCAATCAAGGGACCCTGGAAAGAGAAGAATTAGACTCCTAGATTCCTGGGGGAAGCAGAGAAAACCCAGGGGCTCCTTTTCTCCCATAGAAAACCTGAGGTGAGGCACAGGCCCTTCTCTGGCCCTGCCCATATCGCTCCCATGGCAGACCCACTAAAAAGATTCTTCGGAGCAGTGCCTGGGAATCTGCGTAAAACCAGCACCCTGGTTAAATATGGGGTCCCCTGAGCTGGAATCTAGCCTCCACGAAGACAGAGATGGTGAGTCTCATTTGCACAGTATCCCCAGAGCCCCACTAATGCCTGGCACACAGAGAGCAATCATTAAATGCCCACTGAATGAGTGAGAACTACCATGCTACCCCTTGGCAACACTCCTCCATCCATCATCCCTCGCCTCCCTTCTGCCCGGCAGACGGACAAGGCCTCTCCCTCCTCCAATCTCAGGGTCTTCCAGGACTGGCCCACTCACCCCAAGACTGTGGCCGAAGCCGGTGCTGGGGGCGGGGCTGGCAGCGCTGATGTAACTGCTGACCCCCGAGTCCTGGTTGGCTGCCCCATAGAGCTCAGCCATGGGGCCGGGGCTGGTGGTCCCCAGGAAGCCCCCTGTGCGGCTGGGAGTCGAACCTGGAGGGGGAGCCATCGTCCAGGGGTGAGAGCCTGGCAACCCAGAAAGAAGACAGTGATAGCCCCTGTGCCTTCAAACCTATTCTACCCACCGTAACTTTGATCCCTCCCCTCCGCCTCGCTGTCCCCACATCCCAGCAGAGCCTGTGGGTGCACCTCCTGGAGATCTCTCCACATCCATCCATCCCCACCAGCCCTAGCCCAGGACCCCATCATCTCTTGTCTGACCACTCAGCAGCCCCCCTTCTCACTGATCTCTAGGCCTCTCCTCTTGAGCACCTTCAAACCATTCCCTATGCTGTATGCATTTTCTAAAATTCACATCACTCCACTGCTTCAAATGTTTAGCGTCTCCCCAGGACCCACTTCCTCCTTCTTCCTACCCTCTATTCCCTCCTCCCACTCCTGCCCTCCGCCCAGGTTCACTGGCTGCCAAGCCTTTGCACCTGCTATTCCCTCTGCCAAGAACGCTTTTCCTCCTCTTTGCCTTGAATGCGGAAGTGAAGAAGCCCCTCCTCCTGGATGACTTTCGGAGAGGCCTGTGAACTCCTGACTTCCCCAGAGAAGCCGTATCATCCTTCAGAATGATTGCCTTTTTAATACCTGAGGCCCCCACTGGCCTGTAATCTCTGTGCCAGGCCTCTCCCTGGCTGGCTCGCCAGGTGTTCAGTTAATATTTGTCGAGTGAATGAATACCTAAGTCCCTCTGAAAAGGGGTGGCAGTGGCTACCTTGCCTCCCCTCTAGACTTCTCTGACCTCCTGTACGCCTTTCCTTGCTTCCTGAACCCCAAAAGGCCTCACCTGTCCCTCGAACCACAGCCGCCGCCGCCGCCGCCGCCGCCATTGGTCCATAAGCGGTGAGAGGAATGGCTGAAAGGAAAGGTATGGGCGCTTCAGTGTGCTGAGTGAGAGGACAGAGGTGGATGAAGGAGGCTCCCACTGGGGAGAGCCTCTGCAGTCTTACCCCACCACAGAGGGGTCAGTGCAGCCCCAGGGGCAAGGCAGCAAAGAGCTCCCTCAGGCCACCATCTGTGCTCTGACTCACAGAAAGGATGGAGACAGGGAGGAGAGGGTGGCTTCCCAGTGATTTCCCCCCTGGACTCAAGGGGCACAGACAACCCAAAACTCACAGGGGGTGGGGGCAGGGCACCCGGCCCGGAGTTGTTCTGAGAATTGCCCACAGCTGTCCCTTCTCCAGAGAGTGCCCTTGGCCCAAAGGGGGCCACCTAGCCCGGGGGTAAAGGGGAGGTTATGTCCCTCTTCCAAACCCCTGTCAACTGGAGCCAGTGACTGACTGACATGGGGTCCAAAAAGCCAGGCCGCTGCCTCAAAGTGGAACCGACTCTGAGGTACAGTTCAAGCCACAGGGCTCCCTGTGCAATCCGGCTGAAGGCGGGCTCCAGTCGTGGCCACACTTCTTGCTCCTTGTACTGCTTGGTCTGCTTCCCTCGCTCCCCTTCTCCTGAGAGCATGTCCTTAATAAATCGTGCGCATGCCTCAGGGACCCCCCTGACCACCACCCAGCCAGAAAGGACCGCCTCCTCCTCCAAATCCTCTCAGCCCCTTTTCTCCGATCCCCTCTTCAGACACAGGGATCTTGCTATTCCCTTGTTTGCTGTCTACCGCCAACCCCCACCCCACCCCCAGCATCTAGCACCCTGCCTTGTACACAGGAGGTGTTTAATAAATGTCAGCTGAAGGAGCAGAAGGGACCTCTGCTTAAATAACTGGTTGGCTTGAGCCTGGAGCTCCCTGGGGCTGGGCGTGAGCACCCTTTACTGCTTGGCTTTGCCACAACAGCACCTGAGAAACTACTATTCCACCCAGAGCCAGGGTCTGCAGAGGCGGTTTGCATTTGCTCTGGGGAACACCAATCTCCCATCCTAAGATGCGCCCCCTTGAGGCTGTTTTGGCCACCCTGACTCTGAATTGGAACTGGAACTAGACCTGGGGCCAGGGACCCCAGAATAAGGCCCCTGAAAATCCTTGGCATGGCCACTGATTGGCCTGGAGATTCAAGTTTAAGACAGTGCAGGGGGAGCCGCTTAGCTCAGTTGGTTAGAGCACAAGCTTATAATACCACGGTTGCTGGTTCTATTCCCACATGGGCCAAGGAGCTGCACCCTCCACAACTAGATTGAAACTACTACTTGACTTGGAGCTGATGGGTCCTGCAAAAACGCACTGTTCCCTAGTATGTTCCCCAATAAAATAAAATTTAAAAAGTTTAAGACAGTGCAGTTACCACACAGTAGAGGAGCCTTGCCTAAGACCTTCACACAGTTGTCTCCTCCTCACGCAGATGTCACCTCCTCTGAGAAGCCTTCCCTGACCACCCTCACTAATGCAGCCCCCCGCCCGCAACCCTAATGCCTCACCCCATCTCCGTTTTATTTTCCTTGTGGAATTTCTCACACTCTGAAAGTATCTTATTTATTTGTTTACTTGTTTATTGCTGTCTCCCTCCATGAGAATATCTCACACTCTGAAAGTATCTTATTTACTTATTTATTGCTGTCTCCCTCCATGAGAATATCAGCTCCAGGGGGGCATGGACCTTGTCTGTCTCATTCACTGCTGTATCCCCATTGCCTGGCATAGCATCTGGCGCGATAAATATCTACGAATGCATTAAAGGAACACCCACATCTCCTAAAGGCAAGAGAAAAGTTCAGACCCTAGACCTCCAGGAGAGACCTCCTCCCCTGCCAAGACATCTGCAGAGGGGACACTTCTTCCCTTAGTTCTTTAAGGGTGGGGGCTGGGCTCTGAGGTCTGTTTTTTTGGTCCATTTAGGTATTTCCACAAAGGAAAGTCAGCATGGCCAACCCGAGCAGGTGCTTATCACAACTGTAAAGGGTTACTCATTTGTATTTGTTTCCCTCTCTAGCCTGCTAGTTCTGTGACAGCAGGGTCTGGCTCTGTCTTGTCCCTGCTCTGCCCACAGGACCTGGCAGCGTGTCCCACACAGTAGGTCCTTAACACAGAGTTCTTCAATGAGTACAAGAGACCCTCCATCTGTCTCCCCCTTTGCTGGTCACAGAAGAGCCTCTATCACCCCCACCTTCAGGACTTTCTACTCCCTCCCCTTTCTTCACCCCATGTTCCTCTTCCCCCTTTCCCCACTTTGGGGGACTCCTGAGCACCCCTTGGAAGGAAGGTCTCATCTAAAGCAGCATCCATGCTCACGTCCTCCACACACGGTCAGGTTGGGGGGAGAGTCTGGGGGTGGGGTGGGGGAGAAGCAGGTTGAACAGAGAAACCCCTTGCAGCCCACCTCATCTGAGCACGTCCTTCCCCTCCCCTTGGACTTGGCCTTGCCCCTAGCTCCATAGCTGAGCTGATTGGCCCAAGTGAAAGCTCCCGTTGGAGAAATGGCTCCAATGGTTAAGCACCTTCATCCCCCTTGACTAGAATTCCCAAATGGGCAACCCGTGGGCTGGATGTGTCCCTCAAATAGGTCTCACTTGGCTCATGGTGGCTTAAAAATTAGGAATTTGTTGTCAACATTTGAAAATAGTTGAAGAATCCATTTAAAAGCAAAAGCCAGGTTTCTGGCTTTGCTTGGAAAATGAGATCTGAAAACACTGGATCTACATCCGCTCCCAGCAAAGGCCAGCTGGCAGGGATTGCAGACGTGCCCACTCCAATTTGCCAAAGTCCCCACCTAGCCCACTTTGCTCTGAGTTTGAGACCCTGGCTTCTTCTCCGCTGGGTCACGGAGCCTACATGGCACCTGGCACATAGGAGGCACTAGATAAATATCTGCCAGATGGATGAATGAGTGACTTTGCCTCCAGCTGCTGGGCTTGGCCCTATGCCCCACACTTATGGTCCATGCAGCTACACAGACTGGCCAGTGCCAAGGGCAGAGTCGCTGTATCCCTACAGCAGGAGGGCTGCCAGGCAGGAGAAAAGGGCCCCACTAGCTTTCCCCGGGGAAGGTCCCTGAGTCCTTCTCTTTCTCCCCATGTGGCCTGCGAGGTGTACGAAATCCGAGCGACTGACCTGTAAGCTCGGGGAGGACTGGGGCGCTCGGGAGAGGGGTCCGCTCTACACGGAATTCTAAAATGAAACGTAAAACAGCTTAGGAAGATGCAGGGAGGCTCTCGGGCATGGCCCGGAGAGGACAAATGCACCCACAAGGACACTGGGTGGGGGGACAGGCCATGCACAGGACCCAAGACCTGGGGATGGGGAGAGCATGGTCCCCAGCAGGCAAGGGTAGGGGAGGAGACCCAGACACAGAGAGGAAAGACAGACAGACAGGGAGAGAAAGAGTGGGCAGAGTTGCCACCTATACCCCGGGCACAGGGCAATACTGGAGCTACTGTTCCCCATGTTTCTTAAAAAGCTTAAGATTGAACCAAGACATCCCCCAGAATCCTCCTCTTCTCCTATTTGTGTGTGTGTGTGTGGGGGGGGGGTAAGGGGGGAAGGGAGCTGGGGGAGGAGCTGGGGAGGCAGCATTGGTGAAAAGCAATGACCCTAACACAGCAGGTCAGGCTCAGGTTTGGTTCCCAGATCTAGCACTATCTAGTTGAGTCATCTTAGCAGCTCATGTCTCTTCTCTGAGGCTGTTTCCTCACCTAGGCAGTGGGGATCACCAGCCTTCCCTCATGAGATTGTTGTCAGGATTATGTCCTGACATCCTATATATACATAGGATTCCAAGCTGTGTACAGCCCAAGAGGCAAATGATGCAAGTGTTTAGGGATCCTCTAAGAAATAAGACCCAAAAAAAAAAAAAAAGCCTGGCGAAAATTTGATACTTGATATCTCAACTATCTCAAAGAAAACAACATTGAATAGTCATCATGGGACAGTTCAAAACTTTGTTGGGCTCCCTGCCACTTATTTGAAGGCCTAGTGTTATTTTTATTTTGAATTACAAATGAGGGTGGTGATCATCATGCTTTTAAATTGTTTTTCACCATTCAGGGTCTTGTGGGCCTTGAAAGGCTCAGCGTAGCTAGTGGTCATTATACGTGTGTCCAGAAAGACACAGCCGACCTTGGCCCTTGGGGAGCTCCCCCACCGCCCCCCCACAAGCCTGGTGCCCTCTTTGGTGGAAGTGGCAACCCTAGAGTCGGGTGGGGAGGAGAGAAAGGCAGGACGCAGGCAGAGATCGGCCTGGGCCTGGGAGAGAACGGTGCCATGCAAGGCCATGCTGGAGCCCCCATCCCCAGCCTCTGGGGAGGGGGTGAGGAGAGGATGGGTGGGGAGAGGCGCTTCTTCCTCAGTCACGCCCTTCCTTTCAAGCCTCCGGCAGGCAGACTTCCCCCCAGCCATGCATCCCCAGACACCGCCCTGAGGAGTCAGACTGCCCAGGAACCGGGGACATGCTGGCAGCAGAGACACTGAGCAGGACTTACCGGGGAACTGGTAGGTATAGCCAGGGGCGAGGCCTGTGTAACTCCGGCTTGCATAGGTCGTGGCTTGGAAACCGGGGTAACCTGAGGGGGCAAGAGGGCTAGTGTCAGGCGCCTCACTCCCAGCTTGGACCCTGATCAGTGGGGAAGGCTCTGAGCCACTCACTTCCCTCCCCGGCTCGTATCACGAGTAATCGTCAGTCACATGTACCAAATGCCCATCACATGCCAAGCCCTGTGCTAAGCCCACAGAGCAATTTATCTTCTCCTTAAACCTCGCAAGAACCCTAAGCAATAGTTACTCTTAGGAGCCCCATTATAGAGGTAAGGAAACTGAGGCTCAGAGAGGTGACACTTATTGGCTGAGAATAATTAAAACCCTTACCAAGGTCCTTTTGTGCTCTGGCTCCTGCCTCTGTCCCATCCTCATCTACACTCTGCCCCTGGTCACTCTGCTCCAGCCACACTGACCTACTTGCTGTTTCTCAAATTCACCAAGCTCCCTCCCACCTCAGGGCCTTTGCATATGCCATTCCCTCTGCTGGAGCACTCATCTCCCCAGGTTTTCACATGACTGGGTCCTTTTCATTGTGCAAGTCTCAGCTTAAATGTCTTCCTCAGAGAGATCATCCCAAAAGTCTTTCCTCTTGGGGCGGCCGGTTAGCTCAGGTGGTTAGAGCACAGGCTCATAACACCAAGGTTGCCAGTTCAATTCCCACATGGGCCAAGGAGCTGCGCCCTCCACAACTAGATTGAAACAACTACTTGACTTGGAAAACAGTGTTGAAAAACACACTGTTCCCCAATAAAATTTCTAAACAAAAAAGAAAAGATGAAGTTTCAATTAAAAAAAAAAAAAAGTCTTTCTTCTTATTAGTTACAATATTTATCGTATCACCCTGGTTTTTCCCTTTCATAGCCCTGATGATCATTATCTGAATTTATTTCAGGATTTCTTTAAGTGTTTATTTTCTGTTTTCCCCATCTCTTATTTCTGTATCTCCAGCACCAGCATGGTGCCTGCTACTTAGTATGCATCTAATAAATATTTGCAGCTATGAAAGAAAACTCATATAGTGAGTAATAATGGTGTAAATGGGGTTCAAATTCAGATCTGACCGGCTCCAAGTCTCTTAACCACCATTATTGCTACTTGTTAGAAAATTTCTTTTTCTTTTTTTTTTTTTTAACTCTTTCAATGAGGTGTAAAATGAATTGCCTTGAAAAGGAAACTTTCTCAATGTTCCAGATGAAAGGAAGCTAAAGACACAGGACAACTAAATGCAAGACCTGACTCTAGCCTAGATCTTGTTCTGAAGGGCAAAAAATATGCTATAAAGAATATTACTAGGAGGGCCGGCCGAGTGGCTCAGTTGGTTAAGAGCTCGCTCAAGAGTATGAGCTCTGAGCAACAGTGGTTCGAGTCCCGCCCAAGCTGAGCTGCTGCTGAGCTGACAACAGGCGGCAGGATGGCTCAGCTTAAAAAAAAAAAAAAAGAAAGAAAGAAAGAAAGAAAGAGAAAAAAGAATATTACTGGGTCAACTGATAAAGTCAGAAAATAGATATTTTACATTAAAATATTATATCAAGGGCCGGTTGAGTGGTGCGTTGGTTAAGAACTGGCTTGGGACGCCAGAGGGCCCCGGTTTGGATCCCACATATGAGGGCCAGTGACACTGCCCTCCACAGCTAAGATGCTGAACAACAGCTCAACCTGGAGCTGCGCTGCCGTGAGTCGCCGGTGACGGCATAGGCTGCAGCCCCTGTGGCAGTGGGTTACCATGGGCTACCGTGTGTAGCCAGCAGCCAGCGTGAGCGGTCAGCAGCCACAGTGAGTGGCCGTCCAGAAGCCGGCGACTGATCTGCCTCACCAGGGAAGAGCACAATGATGGTGCCAACTTGGGCCAGTGAAACGTCCTTCACAACTAGACTGAAGAACAAAATGACAGCAACTTGTCTGTTCCCCTTCCCCCAATTCCCCAGCACTGTTCCCATCCCCCCAATTCCCCAATTCCAAAAAAAAAAAATATATATATATATATATTATATCAATATAAATGTATCAAGTTGATAATTATTATGTGGTTTCATGAAAGAATATCTCTCATCTTAGGAAATATACAATGAAATATTTAGGGGTAAAGGGCCATAATGCATATAATTTATCCTCAAATGATTCAGGAAAAAATCACTAGTGTGTGTGTGTGTGTGTGTACACATGTATGTATGTATATATACACACACACATACAAATATACAAACACGCAGAGAGAGAAAATGCTAAAGCAAATGTTGTTTGTGCTACTTTCCTTTTTCAACCCTTCTGAAAGTTTGAAATTACTTCCAAATAAAAAGTTTTTAAAAAAAACTTCAAGAGAAAAAAAAAAAAAAAAACCTCAAGAGAAGACTGTGCTCCATTTGGAGGGTGCTGTCCTCACCCACCCTACCTGTGATCCCAAATCCTGACCCTCTAGCCCACACCAGGCCCCCTCCTCTGATTCCCAGGGCACCCCTCCCCCATCCCCTGCAATCAAGACCCCGTCATACTATTCTCTTTCTATGTGGGCACCTCTTGTCTCTCCAGAGATGAACTTCCTGGGGGCCCAGCTCCAATTTTCTGCTCAGTCATGGGCCCCAAGTGTTGCTGACTTCTCCTCAACTTCCAAGACTCCTGGCAGCCTTCATCTCCTCCAGGGGGCCCAGGTGGGTTTAGGTGCCTCCTTGGCCCTCCCACAGCCTCCAGTCACTCTGTGATGACTTTGACCCTTTATTCCTGTCTCCCACTTGATGGGGAACTCCATGAGGGCAGGTGCCACCTCTCAGAAGCTGCTCAATCGATATAAGTTGAATGATCAAGAAGCAGCAGCCTTCTTTGCCTTCCCGAACGTCTTTGGGTCTTTGTAAATGCTGTTCCCTCTGCCTGGAACATTTTTCCCTTCCCTTGTCCCCTGCCTTCCCATCACTAGCTCCTACTCAACCTGCAGACTCAAGTTTAAATGTAACTTCTTTTCTGGCTTCTCTAAGTCTTGGTCAAGTTCCCTGTGACCCATGTTCCCTTGGTACACTTTTCCATCCTAAACCTATTTATTTATGTTCTTATTTGTTTTCCCTGCCAGACCACAAAGGTCCAAGGAAAGTCATTGTTGTACTTCCCGGTATAGTGCCTGGCATCATAGTTGCTCAATAACTATTGACTGGATGGATGCATGGACGAACAAATAAATGGATGGACAGAAGGACCAATTAATAAGGAGCAGCTGGACCATTCTTCTGGCTACCGCCAGAGGGCAGTACCCCACAACAAAACTGCCCCACCTTTGGTAGGCCTGACAGACCTGAGATCCTGGGTCCGCACTCCCACCCAATGACTCAGACAGGAGGGCAGACCACAGAGGAGATGCAACACCCATGCCGCCCCTGGCAGCCTCTGGAGCCGTTCCAGACAGGAAGAAGCCACAGGTGCAGGCCTGGCACATACCCAGCATGCCGATGCCCAGCATGAAGGCGTCCATTCCGTAGGGCATGACTCGAGACCTCCCCCGGGCCGAACCCGTTGGCGACATCACCTCTTTTGGCTGAGCTTTCTTACATTCCACCTGCAATGAGACCTGGCGGTCAGTCCCTCCTACAATCCTGGGGTCACGGACCCTCCTGTTCCCTGGCAGGCCTTTTTATTTTTCATTTCAGTTACCATTTATGGAGCACTCACTATGTGCTAGGCACTGGGTAAATGGCTTGGCATGCAGTAGTTTATGAATGCTTACACCAATCCTACGAGGGAGGTATTATTGCCACTCACGTTTTACAGTTGAGGAAACTGAGGCTCAGAGAGGAGAAGCCATCTGCCCAATGACTACACTACCAAGTGGTAGAATGAGGTTTCAACCATGGGATACTGCCTTCCTGTCCATATTTTCAGGGGGTAGGAGAACTGCCGCTATCCCACTAACTTTGAGGCCCCTCTGCCTGCCACCAGAACCCCCAAGCGTGTCCCAGGCTGGCTCAACCTGGAGCCTCCGTCTCCCCCTGTACCTCCACCCCATCCAACCCCAGCTCACCATTTTGTTGTTGATTTCATGGAAATGGATTTCACACACTTTCTCCACGATGTCTTCGCTCTCAAACGTGACAAAACCGAACCCTAGTGGGCAAAGGCAGGGTCAAAACGGGGCTCACGGTCAAAACCCAGCCCCGAGTCATACTAATACCACCACTCCTCTCTCACAGGCTAGTGTCTGAGAGTTAACCAAAGGCTCTGCCCACAGCCCAAGAACCTCTCAACTACTCTCTGAGACAGGGTTTCTAGTTCCAAATGACAGATGTGAAAACCAAGGCTCAGCGAAGTGAAGTGACTTGCTCAAGATCACACAGCAACTGAGGAAGTGACAGAGCTGTGAGGAAATGACACTCAATGTGCCCTTTCTCTTCCTCTGATGCTTTCCCAAGAGGAAAGAAAGAATACACACAAACACTTACTTAAACTTACACAAAGGTGTACACACCCACACATATATTTGTACACACACTCACACACATATCGGTAGACACTCATGTACCTATGTGTCACACAGACACTGGTGCTTACAAAAACATAAAGTCCCCTGCATACATGTGCAGTCACCCTGACACACCAAACATACACGAATATTCAGATACTGACACCCTCACATGCAGATACACACACACACACACACACACACACACACAATAGCACATACTCCACTCCCAGAACAGGCTACAAGGCCCAAAGGCCTGAAGCAACTGGAGAAAAACCCCGCCTCTTCCCGGGTGTGCCCCAGGGACTGGAATGGGATTCTCAGAAGGCAAGGCCCTTGGGAGAAAAACAACCAGGCAGTGTGAACACTGTGGCCCAGATGCTCACAGGTTCAGGGGCAAAGGGGCTGGGGGCTGGGCTCAGCCAGAGGGTGGGGGTGGAGGGCAGTGGCAGAAGCAGACTGCCTGGGGCTACGAGTCAGCCTGACCCTGGGGCAGCATGGCCTGAGCTCTGGTTACCAGGGACAAGGTAAGCCCCTGCAGAGACACTGGCTGGGCAGACATGGTGGGGGCCGAGTAGGGGGTGGAGGGGGTGAGTCTGCTGCTCTGCTCCTCTCGGGTGTCTGCAATTCTGCAAGTTTCTAGCACAGGAAACGCGGCGGGACAAAAGCCTTCTGTAAGGCCAGGCCCTGGAGAGGATGCAGATCCTCAGGGATAGGATGTCAGGAGGAGAGATGAAAGGGCAGCTGTGACCTGCAGCCCCCTGGCTGACCACAGGCCCCCAGCCCAGCCTGAAAGGGGGAGGAGGCCACACCCACCTCGGTGCCTGTTGGTGGTTTTGTCAAACATCAACATGGCATCATCCACCTGAAATAAAACAGAACCATTTTGTTTTTTGGAGGACCCACCAGATACCAGGGGACCCAGGAGCAGGGGCCTCCACACCCAATCCCTTATTGCCCAGTCCAGGCTTTATCTTAAACCTGCTCCCTGTGCTGGGGACAACTTTTCATCTGCAACTCCAACTGGATGCCACAGTACCTGCCCCCCTGCCCGGTCAACCACCAGATTCTCAGTCGACCAGCCTGCAAATATTAAGTGCCAAATACGTGCTTGGCACGTTGCCCCATCATCCTCTCCACATTCCCTGCATGGTAAGATCCTCATTTTGTAGATAAGGAAATGAGCTCAGAGAGGTGAAGTCACCTGCCCATGGTCACACAGCAAATCCTAGACCAAGCCTGCGAGGAGGAGGCACTGAGTGGGCACTAGAGAAAGAAATACGGGAGCAAGATATGAGCTGGGGGAGCAAAAGCCTTTTCCTTTTTTGCAAAAGGCCAAAAGGACAGCAGCCACCCCAGCCAGTCTTGACTCCCTCTGCTGGTACAGATCTTTTCCTCTAATTGAGGTTTCCTTTTGCTAGAGGCTGTAATTAAGGCAAGTAGAGTTCAGTGCCTGGGCTGCTTGCCTCCCACTGACTGGGGGAGGGGACAGCGGCCGAGGAAGGGTGAGGGTCTACATTATCCTTCCTCCCCTGGACCCCAGACTTCTCTTCTTGCTACTCCTTCATGAATATATGGACAACCAAAGGCCTAGCTTCCCTCCCCAGTCACATCTCCTTCCCTTTGCCTACATCTGGTGCGTCCTCCTTGCCCTCTTCATTCTTCAGCCAATGTCAGCTATCTCATGGGGCTAAGCTAAGGGATAAGATGCTATCCCTCCATCGCACTCCAGGTGCTGACCTTCCCACAAATGTTCAGACACCCAAGGGATGAAGGTAAATTTCTCGAGGCCGTGGGTCACTGCTTCTCCCCTACTCTCTCCTTCACTCCCTTTCCAGGCCATCATCTGCCTCTTTGAAGAAAAGAGCAACCCCTGAATAGGGTGGTCCTCCAGCTCGCTCTCCTTAGGTGCCAAGCTGCTCCGGGCCTCTGACTTCCCCCTGGGAGAACCAGGACCCCAACTGAGCCGGGAGGCAGCTGGGTCCCTGGAGAATCTGAGAAGGAAATGACAGCTCCCACCCAAGGAGCTTCCTGCCCCGGGGCCCTGCAGGGGAGTGTCACCGTCACTCCCATCCTTATGGACCCATTCTGAGTCCCAATCCCAAATCAGCTTGACTGTCCAAACTAGACTTACACTCAGGCTCAGCACATCTTCCCTACTCCCTTAACCAATGGAAAAGAGATACCCAGAAAGGAGGGTTGTGATAAAGGTAGACTTTGAATGGGAATCCTAGGTCTCACATTTGCTGGTGGGCAGCCTTGGGCAAGTGGCTCTGGGTCTCCATGACTCAGGTTCCTCGTCTATAAAATGGATGTAAGAGTGTCTTATAGGGAGGAGTTAAACGAGATCGTGCACGTAATACTCTTAACGCACAGTCTCTGGGATACAGTAAGTGCTTAATAAGTAATGACGATTATCACCTTATTACGGAGGGGCTTGCCCACAGTCACATGGGGGAGAGAGGCAAAGGTGGAGAGAGAGCAGCCCAACCCTGGCTTTCAAGGTTCCATGAGGACAGTACCTTGTCAGCTATGACCATGACCAACCCATGGAGCACCCTGACTTGTGCTCAGTAATTATTTTTTTGAAGGAATGAATGAATGAACTCCGAATTAGCCACACCCTCCTCCCTCTCCTACAGCTCTGAGTTTCTGCTTGACCCACAAACCGATTCAGCCCATAGCCACAGCCTTCCAACTCCACCATCCCTGGCCCCCAGACCCTTCAACCTGGGCCCTGGCTGGACAGACCCCTAGTGGACAGGGGGTTTCAGGCCAATGCAGGAAGCAAGGAAAGTGGCTGGGGGTCCAGGAGACCCCACCAGTGTCCCCTCCTGGGGCCAGCTGAGGAGAGGGAGGCTCCCAGCCCGGTGTCCTTAATAGGCTTTGGTCTCCATGGGAACCCGAGGGCAGGGGGGTTCTGGCGGGGGGAGGGGAGGCGGCCGAGGCCTGCTGACCAGTGGGAGCCGCCAAGTTCGGCGGCCGCTAAGCCTGAGTGGCAGCCATGGCGGCTGACCATTGTTCCCCCCTCGGCGGCGGCCCCTCGATCCGGGCGGGGGGCCCCCCGCCGCGGGGCCCTTGGCATTCCCGGCTGTCCCCCTCGCTCCCTGGCAGCCTATTCTCCGGCTCCCCCTGGCCTCCCCGGGCCGGTTTCACATGCCAACGCCGATTTAGGCCCGAACAAAAGACGCGGCCGCTGACGGCTTCTCCTGGGGCCCGGTTGCCATGGCAACTCCGGCCCCGGGGGCAGGCGGCCTCCAATCACAGCTGCTGGATCAGATTAGTGCGAGCTCTAATGCTCGGCGCTCAGACACAAAGACACCCCGCCGGAGTGAGCGGGGCCTGCTGCTTCCCAGGAGCGCCCTTCCCTCTGGGGCCCAGGCCGCCGACCTGCCCTCTGTCCCGGACCCGGGTCCCCACGGAGGCGCCTGAGCCTCGGCCTCTGGCCTCAACGCCGCCAGCATCCGCTAGCTAGGGGACCTCCCACCCTCTCCCCTTCTACGCTAGACAGGGGGCTGGAAACCCACCCAGTCGCCAGCTCACATCCTATTTCCCAAGCCACCTTCTTTGCCCTTTGCCTAACAGGGAGCTGGAAATTCCTTGATGGGAAAGTAGAGACCCAGCCTGTAGCCTGTCTCACGAAGGAGTAGACCTCACCCCAGCACTAAGCACAACAGCCCTATTTCATCCCCCCGGATTAAAACTTGGTCCCCTCTTTGCCATCTCTCCATGGGACCTTGACGTTGAAATTGCTCACCTTTCTAGGGACGTCCTATCTTCTGATGACGCCATATCTCCTACTTCGTAGATTAAACAGCCCCCAAATTAAAGCTGGATGCACCTTAGAGCTGAGGGCCAATCCTCTAGGTCTGATCTTCAACCCCCCAAAATAGCTAGGGATCAGCACCACTGCCACCCCCAGATCCTGCCCCAAGCTCCCACCTGTACAGGCAGGGTGCTGAGTGCAACTGGGAGTCATATTTATTGCCCCCTTATCATCCTCACCAGGAAGGAGTGGGGGAAGGTGCAACGGCCCATGCATGGCCTGGACAGGTGCAAACTCCCAAGAGGCCAAGGGGTGACTGGATTGAACTGGCTATGAGAGAGCAGTCTCCCTCGGGTGAATGAAGATAAGCAAGAGAAAAACACAGAGGAAGGGCAACAACAGAGACAGCTACTGTGTGGCTTCTGTCCCAGGGGATGTGTCCAGAGTCTGAGGCCCACAGATAGCCCAGGAGCCTGGCGGTGGGTTGGCCTGGCCTTACCCACAGAAGACACCCAGCCCCCTTTTCACCTTTTGCAGGAATTGGAATGACCTAGACTCCTCTTGCTACTGAGCAATTCTACAGGCCTGTCACCCCCTCAGCAAGCACCCCCAGGTTTGACCCACCTTCCCGAACTGCTCAAAATACTGCTTCACGTCCTCCACCGTGGTGTTCACTGATAGCCCCCCCACAAAGATCTTCTTCGTTCGAGTCACCATCTGTTAGGAGGAGGGAATAAGAAAGTGGGCATCTGACTCCTGTGGTCTCCTGCCACCAGCAGGGGCTCGAGACCTCCTGCCAGGGCGCCAGCTGACAAGCTCTCTGTGGCCCCAGCTACTCAGAAGGCCCCCCCTGAACTCCCCCTTGGATACCCGCCTCCTGTCACGGGCAGCTGTGCACCCCAAACCCTGGCTGGCTGGAGTGTGCCTCTCCCCTCCCTCCACCCTGGGGTCTGTGTGGGGAAAATGCCTTCCCTAAAGACCAATACAGAGAGAGGGGTGGGTGAGTAACCCAGGTATACAGTCTAACTTAAAGACCCCACCACCGCCCCCTCCCGGAGAGGCCAAGGCCCATCACAGGGTGCCCCTGAACTTTACACCGACATTTTCTTCATCAACCTCCTCGCAACCCAACCGCTGGTAGCCCCGTGGCCCCAGCCCTGTTTTAGGAAGAACACATGGTCCTAATTACCCCAGGAGCGCATGGCTAATCCACAGGCAATTCCCAGCCCCATCCTAACACTAAAGCACCTTCTGTCACCAAACTGCTTAATGGAATTAACCCAATTCCGACCATGTGCTCCCTAGTGCAGCTTCCTTCGAATACCTGGCTCCATAATTGCTTTCAGGCCCTCTGCTGGACCCTTCCAGAGATGCCCCTTTCCTGTCTCCTAAAAGCTGCCCTTCTCCCTTCCCTATGGCAGGAGCTGGGCGCCATGGCTCAAAATCCTAAGGCATCCTAGTTCCCACCAACCCCCTAGCAAAGAGGAAACTAAGATCTCCTGGAGGGGGACCTAGTTCTAGGACACATGATAAGTCGGCAGACACAAGGGTCCTGATCCTTGTACTCCAATCAGCCTTCCCCTCTGTCCCCTATATTCAACTGCTTAAAAATTAAGATCTGGCTAGTTGCCATTGGGGCCTTGAATAGAATCTTGGCCCCTTCCCTGGGCCAAAAGTTTTGAGTGCTATATAGCTCAACTGCTCAGAAATGTTTTCCACATACCCAGAAAAATTCACCACTGCCCAGGGAGAGAGAACACTTGGGAGGGCAGCCCCAGTTACCCAAGTTGAAAGACAACAGGTGACAGACTCCATGGTGCCTTCCCCCTCCTCAAACCCAACACATCACATTCAAGAGGTAGGAGGGTGACTGGGTCAGAGGTAGCTTCCTGGCCTGATTCTAGCTCAGTCTCAGGGGGTAAGCCTGTCCTGGGTTTGACCCCCAGAGGTGCTGGGCACAGAGGCTGTGATTTCTGAGGTCAGAATTTGACGCAGGGTCCAAACCATACTGGCTTCAAATACAGGACAATAGGTACCCTGAGGGGTTCCCCTTCTCCCAACACATGCAGCCCTCTCCCTGGTCCACCCCAGAGCAGATGGAAAGGTGATGCATGGTGTCTTCAATTCACAGAGCAAGGATATCAAGAATCCTCCCTCCTCCCATCCCAGTCCACAGAGGTTCCAGAAGCATCTTTCATAGAAAGGAATGCTGGGAATATCACTGTCCTCAGTAACAGAGCTCTTCTCAGACACAGACACACCTACCTTAGGCTGTGCTCGCCGAGGAAAGGCCACCTTGGGATCAATCTGAAAGAGAAGGGAGAAGTAGAAGGGGCCTTGATTATCACATTTCAGATGGGTGACCACACAGCCTTCAGCCCTGAGGACGTTTCTCATCCCAGGACACAGACAGAGGTGACACAGAAGTGACAGAAACCCCCACAGCCTCTAGCAGGAAAGTGTAGTGGTTATGCATTTAGGCCACAGAGCCAGGCTACTGGGTTTGAATCCCACTTACACTGCTTCCCAGCTGTGAGACCTTAGGCAAGCTAAGCTCTCTGAGCCCCAGGGTCAAGCTCACCTGCAAAATGGGCAAACAGTAACATCCACCTCAAAGAGTCATCTGCAGATTGCTTGAGATAATGCTTACAAAGCACTTGGCATGGTGTCTAGCTCACAGCAAGAACCCAAAAAAGTAAGCGAAGTCTTATTCCTTTAAGCACCAGGTATATTGAGGGCCTTCCCAGCTTAACCTACTTCACACAGATAACCTGTCTAGGTGAGGCATGCAATCCAGACTTTTGAAGCCTTGAGAATGGAAACTCTTTGCTTCAAGATAAGAGTTCATAAACACCAGGAATGGACTCAGTTCTGTTTCCCTGATATTATCGACATCTAACAGCCCTCCTTGAGGGTGCAAGCAAACAGCTCCCTGAGAATGCAGCTAGGTTTGAGGCGAAGCAGAGCCCAGGCTCTGGGGACATGCAAGGGCATGGGACTTGGACTCAGAAACTCTGGGCCCCTGGCCAAGCCTGTGATCCTGGGAGCTCGCCTGGTCCTTCTGAGCCTCAGTTCCCTCATCTGCAAAGTGGGACAATCACACCCATTTTTCCCAGGGGCAGCTGGGGGGAATCAAACGAGATAATGTGGGTAAAAACGGCCCTTTGTGAACTGCCCTTCACTGCACAAACAAAGGTGCTATTACCAGTAGGCCACCTTTGCCCTTGGCTGTGAAAACTGAGGGGAAAAGCAACATGCACCTGGATACTCCCGAGCACTCTACCTGTACTTAGAAACAGCAAAAGCCATGAGACACTGTGATCAATGCAGGGCCTGTGAGGCCCGGTCATTCCAGAGTTTCTTGCTACCCACATGGGTGGACACCACTCAGAAATTCACCAGCCAATCCCAGGCAAGATCTATCTTTTCCCAAAGTTCCTTCCGTTCAAAAATTCAGCCTCGTTCATTTTACACAACCAGCTCTGGCCGCTCTCTGCCTGAATGGCACGAACCAGGGACCAGCTTCCTAAAGGCTCCCTCCGTGGAATTTGGCCACAGAGAAGGAACCTCTAAAATCCACGCTAAAGTAGTGTCTCCTCTCTCCCAAAGTCCCACCGGGCCCCAGGAAAAATCACAGCTGACCATTTTCCTTGTCTGAAGGTGTGATTTTGTACATCTATGGACATTTTCCTCCTTCTGTTTCTCCTGAAAGCATCCTCCCCAGCTACCAAAGCACAACTCACATAGTACCCCTGCACAGACACTGATGCGGAGATGGTACCCAAGCCAGGTCCCACAGACCCACACACACCCATCCTTGACACGCCCCACCTCCACTCCGATTCACGGCTGGCAACGTAAGTAAAACCCAACAAATAAATAAAAGGTGAAAGAACCCAAAATAGACTCCCCACAATACACCTCCCTCCCACCCGCCCTTTACCAGGCCAGAGAATGCCAAACACAAAGCCCTTGCCCTTGAGTCCCAAAGCTCAGAAGGATGCTCATCTCACCCTCCTTCCTCTCTTCTCTCTTCCCTTTATCAATCTTCCATTCCCCCCAGCTCCAGCCCCAGCCCTTAAATCTCAGCTTCCTGAGCGCTGCAGAAGCCATCAGTGCATTCTGAGGACAGGGGATGGTAGGAGAACAGGCAGCTTGATGGCAGATAATCACCAAAAAACAATAGGCCACTGTCTCTCCATTCCCAGCTTGGGTCACTCAGCCTGAGCCAAGAAGATCCTTTCAGAGCCGGCAAAGTTGAGGCCTGGCCTCATTTGCTCATTACTGGGAGCAGGAGTGGGAGCCACTGGGCAGAGATAACAGGAGCTGGGGACAGGCAGTAATTTAACAAATTCTTGGGCACAACCAGCTATTGTTGCAGGTAAACAGGAGCCAGGGACTGACCCAAGCAGGGAGGCCCAGGGCTAGAGGAGAGTGGGGGAGTGCGGAGAGAGATCACACTGTCCTGGCCCCTTGGCAGATGGTCACCCCCATCACAGGTCACCCCAATCACAGAATAACCCCTCTGACTTTCTCTTTTTCCCCTCTCTCCTTGAGACCCAGCCTGGGTCAGCGCCCTCTACAGGGCCCAAGACCCTGGGGAGCAGTGGGACAACAGCAAAATGTTCCAGGAGTTTGAATGCCAAACAAGCAGCTAAAATCTAACCCTCAGAAGGGTTGTTTTCAGGCAAGCAGGCTCCCTTCTAATAAACCCCTTCATGGGCAAAGCAGGTCTGGGTCTTCCACACAAAGCAAGGAGCACATTGACCAAAAGTCAGGGGAAGGAGGAATGGGTTGGGGGGGTGTTCTATGGTGCTTTGCCATTGGTTTGGAATGGGGGGGGGGGGGTGTCGCAGAGCCAAATACTAGTTACAATTCAGAGAAGCCACGGGGTGGGTCACTGCAGCTCTGACTCACCCAATTTGGGCTAGGGGAGGGACCTAGCCCCACCCCAAGCTCCTCTCTGAGGCATCAAGGTTAGTAGGAAGGAGTGGTAGCTGCTTCTTCCCTCGCCAATACTGGAGGGGTTGGGAGATGTAGCATCTCATGGCAGGCCTGGGTTTTTCCTCTTCCCTCTCCCCTCAACTCTAGTGACAAAGTTTCTGAGCCTGGCAGCCCTTCTACTCGGAAAACTCCCTTCTTCCTTAAAGACCCCATACAACTGTCCCCTGGGGAGAGTCCTGACCCTCTCCTCCGGCGGCCTCCCTCTCCCAAAGGACCCCCGAAGCCCCGAGGGCCACTCACTGTTTTGGAGTCGAGCTCGTGCCGCGATTGCGCCAGCACTTTATCCACCCCCGCCTGGTCCATGAAAGTGACGAAGCCGAAACCCCTGCGCGCCGTAGTGAGGGAGAGGCAGATGGTTACAAGGCAGTGAGTGGCGGTGGAGGGGGGCGAGCCGGGAGCAGGAGGAGGGGGTGAGGGGCTCACCTGGATCTCTTGGTCAGGGGGTCCCGCATCACCAGACACTCCTTCACTTCCCCGAACTGGCCGAAGTATTCGCGCAGCCCTTCTGTAACCACACACCCGCCTTCGGACCAGCCCGGGCCCCGCGCCCTTCCCCCTCTCCACCGTCCTTTGCCCCCGGTGACCCCGGCGCGGCCCGTCCGCCCCCGCGCCAAGCAGCCTGAGCGTTCTCCAGTGTGCCCCCCCACCTCCAGCCCTCACCCGGCTCCCATGGAGCCTCCTGGCGCCCACGGGGGCCCCAGAAAGCCGAGGGCCCAGCTGGGCTGGAGGGGGGACGGCTCCGGCCGGGTTCCCGCCGCTCCGGGAGCCGCCTCACAAAAGTTTGAGCCGCAGGTGCGAGCGGAGTTGGCGCTGCCGCCGGCGGGTCCCGGGGGCCCAGCCCACCCCCCGATGCCCCCTGAACCCCTCATCTCCTCTCCTCCACCCGCTGGGCCGTGCGCGCTTCCCGATCGCCCTGCGCTCTCGGGGTCCCCGGGCGGGGCGCGAAAGAGAGCGCGGGGGCGCCCGGGGTCAGCAGGGCGCAGGGCCCGGCTGGGGTGTCCGGTTCCGGGGCGCCAGGGGGTTCGGGGTGCCCTGCCGAGCCGGCGGGCGCTCCCGGGCTCGCTCACCCTGCGTAGTCTGCCAACTGAGTCCCCCGATGAACATCTTGCTGCGGGAGGAGGAGAGACACAAAGGGCCCGCGTGAGCGCCGGGCGGCGGGGCGCAGGGGG